CTTGTACCAGTTTTATGTTTACTTGTTTCTAACCAAGGTAGCACAAGATGTCTATGTGAATTTTATATTTGCTATGTATTTAAATTTTAAAATTGCCTTTATAATGCCAATGTTATTGGATAATCCACCCTGCATGATAATTTTTGGTGTTCAGGCTTAAAAGGCTTTTTTCCAGGATATTTTGTTTTATTTTGTTTGTTCTGAGACAGGGTCTCACTCTGTCATCCAGGCTGGAGTGCAGTGGCATGATCAGGGCTCACTGAAGCTCGACCTCCACCTCCTGGGCTCCAGCCACCCACCTGCCTCAGTGCCTCCTGTCCCCTGCCCCAAATAGTTGGACTACGGGTGCAAGCCACCTCTCCTAGCTAATTGTTTTGAATTTTTAGTAGAGATGACGTCTCTACTACTCTAAAAATGTTGCCAAGGTTGGTCTGGAACTCCTGAGCTCAAGTGATCCTCTTGCCTCAGCCTCCCAAAGTGCTGGGATTACAGGCGTGTGCCACTGCATCCAGCTGTGTATTTCATTAAGTCAACATCTACTATCTACACTGTAGAATAAGTCTCTTCTAAGTATTTATGTTTTTATTGACTTCAAACTCTTTTTCTAAGCTCTTCACTTGGGGAGTACTTTCTTTCCTTCCTTTTTTGGACATTCTCATTCCCACAATAAGATTGACCAATTATAAACCCAGAAAGTCAATCCCTGGGTCCTGTTCTTTTGGGTTAGCCTGTTTGATATCTTTCCATGGCATGTAAATAAATGTGTCTAAATTCATACACAAAGCATACCTTGGAGATATCATGGGTTCAGTTCCAGATCATGGCAATAAAAAAGCAGGTATTCCAGTAAAGTGAGTCATACAAATTCTTTGGTTTCCCAGTGCATATAAAATTTATGTTTACACTATACTATAGTCTATTAAGTGTGCAATAGCATTATGTTTAAAAAAATTACATACCTTAATTTTAAAATACTTTATTGCTAAAACATGCTAATAATGATTATCTGAGCCTTCAGTGAGTTGTAATCTTTTTTTGCCGATGGAGGGTCTTGCCTTGATGTTGATGCCTGCTGATTGATCAGGGTGGTGGTTGCTGAAGGTTGGGTAGCTGTGGCAACCTCTTAAAAAAAGACAACAATGAAGTTTGCCACATCACGGGGCTCTTCCTTTAACGAAAGATTTCTCTGCAGTGTGTTGCTGTTTGATAGCATTTTACCCTCAGTAGAACTGTTTTTTAAAAAATTGGAGTCAATCCTCTCAGACTCTGCCACTGCTTTATTAACTAACTTGATGTAATAATCGAAACCCTTTGTTGTCATTTCAACAAAGTTCACAACACCTTTACCAGTAGATTCCATCTCAAGAAACCATTTTCTTTGTTCATCCATAAGAAGCAACTCCTCGTCTGTTCAAGTTTTATCATGAGATTATGGCAATTCAGTCACATCTTCAGGCTCCACTTCCAATTCTACTTCTCTTGCTATTTCCACCACAAAAGAACTCCTGCAGTTCCTTCCTCCACTGAAGTCTCAAACCCCTCAAAGTTATCCATGAAGGTTGGAGTCAACCTCTTCTAAAATCTTGTTAATGTCAAATTTTAACCTTCTCCCATGAATCATAAATGTTCTTAATGGCCTCTAGAAGGGTGAATCTTTTCCAGAAGATTTTCCAAATCTTTCCAAATGGATTTTCCAAATCCATTAGAGCCACCACTATCTACGGCAGGTATAGCCTTACAAAATACATTTCTTAAATAGTAAAACTTAAAAGCCAAAATGACTCCTTGATCCATGAACTATAGAATGGATGTTGTGTTAGCAGGCATGAGAACAACATTCATTTCCTTGTACATTTCCATTAGAACTCTTGGGTGACCAGGTGTATTGTCAATGAGCAGTAATATGTTGAAAGAAATTTTTTTTCCCCTAAGCAGTAGGTCTCAGTAGTGGGCTTAAAATATTCAATAAACCACAGCACAACAGATGTGCTGTCATTCAGGCTTTGTTGTTCCATTTCTAGAGCACAGGCAGAGTATATTCAGCATCATTCTGAAAGGTTCTAGCATTTTCAGAATAGTCAAACGAGCACTGGCTTCAACTTAAAGTCATCAGCTGCATTAGCCCCTCACAAGAGAGTCAGCCAGTCCTTTGAAGCTTTGAAACTAGGAATTGATGTCTCCTCTCTAGCTAGGAAAGTCTTAAATGACATCTTCTTCTAATAGAATACTGTTTTGTCTACACTGAAAATCTGTCATTTTGTGCAGCCACCTTCATCTATGATCTTAATAATTAAATCATCTGGAAAACTTGCTGCAGCTTTTACATTTGCACTTGCTGCTTACCCTTATACTTTCATGTTATGGTGACGGTTTATTTCTTTAAATCTCATGAACCCACCTCTGCCAGCTTCAAACTATCTTCTCCAGCTTTCTCCCCTCTCTCAGCCTTTACTGAATTGAGGACTTAGGAACTTGCTCTGGATTGGACTCCGGCTTAAGGGAATGTTGTGGTTGGTTTGATTTTAATCCAGACCACTCACACTTTCTCCATATCAGCAATAAGGCTGTTTCACTTTCTTAAAATCCGTGTGTTCTCTGGAGTGGCACTTTTAATTTCCTTTAAGAAATTTTCCTTTGCATTCACAACCTGGATAAATGTTTAGCATGAGGGATCTGGCTTTTGGCCTATCTCAGCTTTTGACATGCCTTCCTCACTATGCTTAATCATTTCTAGGTTTTGATTTAAAGTGAGAGATGTGTGACTCTTCCTTTCATATGAAGAGTTAGAGGCCATTGTAAAGTTATTTATTGTCCTAATTTCAATATTGCTTTATCTTGGAAAAGGTCTGAGGAAAGGAACAGAGATGGGGAATGGTTAGTCAGTGGAGCAGTCAGACCACACATGACATTTATTAATTGTTTGTCCTCTTATATGGGTATGGTTTGTGGCACCCCCAAACAATTACAATAGTAACATCAAAGATCATTGATCACAGGTCATCACAGCAGATATAATAATAATTAATACTAATAAAGCTTGAAATACTGTTAGAATTACCAAAATGTGACACAGAGGCACAAAGTGAGCAACTGCTGTTGGAAAAATGACACTGACAGACTTGCTCGAAGCAGAGTGGCCACAAACCTTCAATTTGTACAAAATGAAGTACCTGCAAAGTGCAATAAAATGAAGCGCAATGAAAGGAGGGATGTCTGGACCACATTTGGCTCTCTCAATCACTTCTCACTGTATTTTCTGGCTTCCTTCATCCTTCCCATTAGGAACCTATGTTCTATCATCTTGTGACCACTTTCCTAAATTGTAATAGCTTTCCAGAGTGGTGAATTGGTGGAATGAACTCCAGACCAGTTGGTAAATGACTAACCATGCATTTGAAGGAGGGTGAAGTAGACCATCATTCAAGAAGCCATTTTTTTGCTCCATATTTAGTGTGGGATATTTTTGGTGCAGAGAAAGTTTTCTGTTCTTGGAACCAACAATTTTCAAACATTTACTGTTTGGTTTTGCATTTACTTTTTCCTTAAGGCACCAGCTATACCTTTCAAATCTTGAACTAGAAAGTACACTTTCTAGCAGTTAGTATATAAAAATACTCATTTGGTAAATAACTTTCAGATGAAATGTCTGATTTTCTTATTTTATAGATACATGGCATAGAGTTTTTATCACACTATCTTTATAAACCAGATTTTTTTTTAGAAATACTCACTGACTTTTAGAATATATATTTTATAACATGTATAGCAAGACTAAAAAAAGACATTTAAACATTTTGGGACAAGTGTCATTTTCCTCTCCAGAGCAGAGTAAGCTTAGAATAAAGTGAATATTCAGGATTTAATTCTCTAAAGGATCTATACTTCCTGACATTAGTGTATCGACTTAAATTTTTTTTTTTTTTTTGAGATGAGTCTCGCCCTATTGCCCAGGCTGGAGTACAGCAGCGCAGTCACGGCTCACTGCAACCTCTGCCTCCTGGGCTCAAGCGATTCTCCTGCCTCAGCCTCCCAAGTAGCTGGGACTGCAGGCATGTGCCACCATGCTAGGCTAATTTTTATATTTTTAGTAGAGACAGGGTTTCACCATGTTGGCCAGGCTGGTCTCAAACTCCTGACCTCAGGTGATCCACCCGCCTTGACCTCCTTAAGTGCTGGGATTACAGGCGTGAGACACCGCACTCAGTCTCAACTTAATTTTTATTAAACATGAATAATACAATGAGTATTGGTATTTTGTGCTGGGTAACTTTTTATTGTGAGGGCTATTCTGTGTTCTGTAGGATGTTTTGAAGCATGTCTGACCTCACTAGATGCTACTTGCACCCACTGCATACAATGCCAATGTTCCCTGGGGGGCAGAAGTTATATAAAAGAACCAAAGATTTAAATTTAACTAATCAAACAAACAAATAAGGATAGGCTTAGTTTAATGCAGATATTATCTATCAAAAATATAGAGATTTCATTCTTTCTTCATTCACATACAAAAATTAGGGACAAATCCAGTAGACACAAACTCTTAGATTCTCCCATTAAATAAAAAACTTTGATACATTCACTTATTCTAAAAAACTATAGTATTGGCTCTGAATTGCTACCATGCAGGTTTTGTCATGTCACCAGATTATGCAGTTCATATTATACATATCAGAGGATCTGTACTACCTGTATTAAAACTATTTTATAGTGTTGAAGACAAGGACACAAAAAGCTAAATAAGTTGAGGAAAGGGTGAAGATTTTTCTGAAACTTTTATATCTGCAGCAAGACAGGGTCACAGGGCTAAAGGATTAATTACATAAGAGGGTGAGATAATGGGTTAGTAACAATGGCTCACGTTTACTTAATGGGTATATTTAGTTGAGGATGAATGAAGCTGCCACTAAATTAACACTATTCAGTTACATGAACACTAATGAAAGAGAGAGAGAGAAAAGGAAAAGACAGAGAGAGAGAGAGAGATAATAGGTATACTTTACCATCCCCAGGAATGATGCGGAGGGTAACTGTGTTTCCTGCTTCCTTGATTAGGTTCACAATGTCTGAATGGGATTTGTTGGTGATGGAACATCCATTTACTGCCAAGATCCGGTCTCCTACTTTCAGCTTGCCACAGCGGTCAGCAGGGCTCCCCTCAATAATCCGACCTATTTTGTGAGGCATAGCCACACATGCATTGCCTGCTTTGATATTGAGTTTTAATTTTTTTAAAGTTACGTGGGAATATAGCAAAGGGAAGAGAAAAAGGGTTGAAAAGGGAAAGAGAAGGTTAAGTGTTAATTAATTAAAGCATTAAGCAAATGTTATTAAAGGAGAGCTCTGCACCGATGGTCAAAACATTGGCAATACTCAGGGTGTCTGTATAAGGAGCTACTGCCCTGAAACTAGAATCGACTGCTGCCATCCTTTCCAGATTCAAAATCAGGGGAACCCCCAGGTTTCCTCCTTAAACCAATTACAAAATTTGGGATAGCTGGCAACTTCAAAGATTTTTAAGAGCCCCAAAATAACTCGCTGTTGGCTTATTTTGGGACTGTAAATGTGAAACCCAAGGCTGGGATGGATGCTTTTACTCATTCTGTGTTCATGTCACTTCATTTTTGCCAGCTGTTGTTTAAGCTTGTGCCAATGTTTTGTTCCTTCTCCATTTAGAAAAATAATCACTGGGCATCTGGTGAGGCATAAGTCTGCTAGCACCAAAAATTCAATCTGAAAACACCTAATGAACAAACACTCAGATTTTCTGCCTTCTCCCCAGAATGATGAAAGCTTTAGAAAATGGGCGTAATTATAAGAGATGAGCTAAGAAAGCACCCAACCTTGAAGCTTATTTTTCCTTTTAGGACCTTTGCTCAAGCAGCTAGTCTTATGTGCTTTCAGAGTGTGGCCCGACTGGTTCATTAGCTCTGAAATCATCCTCCTGCCTCACAAAAATCCCCTCAAAGGACTATGAAAATCTAGTACCTATTTAGGCTGAGGACATTGATCCAAAGCTAGGTTCAAATCTTTCCTCCCCCTTTTTCCTTTAATCATCTCCTTTCTCATCATCAGTTACTGCACATCCACAATATCAAAGACCGGGAAAAGTGCATTTGGAGAGAAAGGTTTATCATGCACTTTGAGGCACTGCATGTCATTGCTAACTTCTAGAGAGAGGTGGCTGGCTTTGAGGCCTGATATAGATTTCTAGTTAATCTAGTTAATCATGTATTGAGTTTCAAAGTTCTTATGCATATTCACCTACTTTGAGAATTTGTCTTTCTGGGGACTATGAAGGTAGTTATGCAGTTGAGTTACCTTTTGGAAAGGGTGACAAAATTAACATGAGGGACATTACAACTAACTGAGTAGGCTCTTCTGTCATAATTTGGACCTTAAAGGTAACGTGTGTGGGAAAATGCGCTTTAATTCCTTTGAATTTCAGCAGATTTGCCTGAGCTTGTATCACAGGATGGAACATCAAGGTAAGATAATTTTTAAAAGTTAACAGTCTATTAGAATACAACAGGTAGGCGTGCTGGAATGCTCCCATACTCAAATTCAAGGTCTTGACTAAGTTCAGTTGATCTCCAAGGACAATTGGTATCACAAAGGTATCGAATAGCAGGTCTGAGGAAAGCTCAGCAAAGCTCAGAAGTCTCATGCAAGGTATTAGGGAAAGTTTAATTTGTTTGTTGTAAGAGCCAAAGGAAAACAATCAAAGACCAAATTGTGAGTGTGAATACAATATTCATTATATAACACATAACCTGCCACTTGACATATATGCTATTTCTTTCTCGAAGGTGAAACTGACAATTCTGAAATAGTTAGGAACATCACAGGATGCATGGAGACAGTCAAATTGTAAATCTGAAGAAAACAATTTGGGATTTCTTTCTCCCCTCTTCCTTCTCTTTATTTTTATATTAAGCAGGAAAGTCTCTGAAATAAATTTTAAAACAAAACCAAAAAACCTTGCTTTGATTTCAGGTCATCCATCCATGACATGCTATGATGACTTTATTAATGTAGCTCAAAAAGCACTGTTAGTAATGGGCATTTGTTACTGCAGCCACACATGCATAGACCTGGCTGGGTCACTGTCCCCTGTTAAACATAAAACTTACGGGGAGACAGCTCTAGCAGGAAGCAACACACCAAGACTAAATGGAGGCCAAGTGAGTTCTACTGGATGAGAATGCTAAAGGGGTGTAGCACCTTGCTGGTCCTAGCCAGTTTTCACGTGGGTAAGTCATTCAGGGATAGAGCTGAGGTACATGAAAAGCCTGCACAGCCTGCACAGCCCTTTCCCTTCTCCCATTGTATTCCATAGTAAGTAACAAACGTGCTCGGGAGATAACAAATGACTTTTTACTCAATCAGGAAGGTGGATCATTTTTGGAGTGTACATCTATAATCAATCCATCGCAATGGGAAACATTCATATATCACTAGTTTCTGCAATCATCTGGGTTTCTCTTGGTCTTTGCTAGTGTACCCAGCAGAGAGTGAACCTTCTGAGAAAGTGACAATTGTGTTTCTACATACTTTGCTGAAACCCTCAACGTCTGGATGAGACAGGAAAATCAAATGACTCTTAACTCAGACTTTAACCTGACTTTAAATCAAGCAACAGTAAAAATATTATTTAAAATTTTAAAAAAATTCCTATGGGAATACAGTAGAGAAAGAACACAGATGAGGTGGACTAGCATCTCCTGTAGTATTTTTATTCCTTATACCTCTATTTTTCCTAGAGCATTTCTACAGCCGTATGCTCCTTGTAAAAACTCTTAAGATATTCTTAAGACCATTCTGAGGCCCTTGCAATTAGTGCTGTCCTATTCAATACCTTTCAAAAGCTTTGCTTTGGCAAAAACTGTAGACTCTGTATGCTGTCCAGGGGTTGCTATTCAAATTTCTTTTTCTTTTTCTTTTTTTTTTTCAGATGGAGTCTCGCTGTGTCACCCAGGCTGGAATACAGTGGCACGATCTGGGCTCACTGCAAGGTCCACCTCCCAGGTTCAAGCGATTCTCTTGCCTCAGCTTCCCAAGTACCTGGGATTACAGGCATGCACCGCCACGCACAGCTAATTTTTGTACTTTTAGTAGAGATGGGGTTTCACCATGTTGGCCAGGTTGGTCTCAAACTCCTGACCTCAAGTGATCCACCTGCCTCGGCCTCCCAAAGTGCGGGGATTACAGGCGTGAGCCACCGCACCCGGCTGCTATTCAAATTTCACGCAAATCTGGTGTATGCTTTAAGTCGTCTGTGCGTGATCACATTCTCAGGGTGGAAGTTGAAAGGGCCAAACAAATATTCCCAACCTTCAAAAGGGAAAAAGCTACCAAATCAACTCCAACCCCAATTAAGTCTTTAATTACCCAGAGCAAGAAGCCATAAAGCATTTCTGCTCATGAGGTCTGGGTCAGCTTTCACTCACAGGAGAACAAAAACTCCCAGGCATGGTAGGAAATCCTGGGCGATTTCACATTCAGCACTCACCAAAGGTCGTGCCTGCTTCGGGCCTGCTCACCGAGGACACGATGACGAAGCCGAAGCCCTCGTTCTCCCCACGCCGGATCTCCACGTCGTAGGGCTGCACCACAGTGCTGACCACGCCGCTGCCCCCGCCGCCGCCGCTGCCGATGCCGCTGGTGCTGCCGCTGCCCGAGCTCACCGTGTTCAGCGAATTCTGGCTGCCCTGCGGGGTGCGCTTCTCTTCTGTCAGCGAGGCTGGCTGGTTGCTACTGTGATGAGAGGAGGCTGGCGAGGGCACCTCGTTCTCGGTTTTGGGTACTGTAACAGAGATGCACGCGTACATTACCGTGTCCGGCAGCCCCTCCATCCTGCTGCCCATCCCTCCTTCCCGCAACTCCCTCAAGAAATCAAAACATGAACCGAGGGGAGGAGACAGCACCTGGTTTCACAAAACCTGGATATACGGATTGAAAGCAGCTTCTCTTGACAAATATTAACCATTCAGTATCTATGAACATTGATCCTACTTAACACCAAATGGGACTTGCAAATAGCGTTCGTTATTTTATAGCATGCTATATGTCGACATCCACACTCAGAATCAAGTTTGCAGCAAGATCAACCTGCTGTGAAATATTTCCCCACTGCACAAAGGGATGGGCCTAAGCGTAGGTGAGGGCTACATCTGCGAAGACCACCATTTTGGCTTCATAGATACAACCTTGGATGCACGTTCATATTGTCATTACTTTCCAATCACATTTCCACTCAGCTTTTTCCATCAGGCAACGAACAGTAAGGTGACGGTAACGTTGAGGCTACCTGCCCTATGTGGGGTTCATGACAACACCTGTGAGACACATATGCTTCTCTTCTTAGCTTCCAGGTGTCAACATCTACTCTGATCACAGAACCGGATACACTGGCCTCCTTCTGAATTTAGTCACCATGCTAGTGTTACTAAAGCGCTCCTAAACAGCCAACACAGTAGGTGGAACCAACTATGCCAAAAACAAAATGTGTGTTGTGTCCAAGTTTTGGATCAGACTGTATTTATTTTCAAAAGCTTCTCTTTTCATAGATTGTTTTAATTGTGGAAAAATAAGCATAACAAAATTTTAAACCATTTTTAAGCATATAGTTGAGTGGTATTAACTGCATTCACATTTTTGTACAACCATCATCATCATCCATCTCCAGAATTTTGTCGTTTTCCCAAATTGAAACTCTGTACTCATTAAAAACTAATTCCCCTTCCCATTTCCTCCATCCCCCACCGACCATCATTCTGCTTTCTGTCTCTATAAATTTGACTACCCTAGGTACCTCATATAAAGGGAATCAATATTTCTCCTTTTGTGACTAGCTCGCTTTGCATAATGTCTCTTCATAGTTTTGACACGCCTTTTACACAGAGCTAAAAATCCAAAATATTTAATATTTTAAAAAATAAACCTGAAACACAAAATATCACATTGCCTTACTATTTCTATTTGGGTCAGGGAAGCCAGATAGTTTTCATCTCATCTCAAAAACCAGTTCTAACTGACTGCTTTTAGCTGCATGGAATACTATGTTAAGAAGGATTGTGAGGCCACAAACAAGCTCTAGGGACATAACCTACAGCAGATTAACACTGTTTTCCATGGATGCAGGAGGTAGGACTCTCACATTGGAATTTAACATCTTAATTCTATAATTAATCATATACCATTTAAAATGGGTTATACTTTTTTTTTTTTTTTTTAAAAAAACAAGGTACCAATTAATTTGATCTGGCAGGTATCTGTTTCACTAATATTAATGCCACAAGAATTCATAATATTTCAGGTCATATTTCTCCAGTAATTCAACTGATAGAAGACAATCACTTCTGCTGTATTCTGGGTTCTGTCTCAAAGGTTTCAAAGTGGGAGCTGCATCCAAAGGTGAACAACAAGGTGTATTCAACGTGAGCTTTCAGGAAGCTGGTAGGTCAAGGGAAAGGACAGACACACAATTCACTGTCTCAAAATGGCAGATTCTGATGTGGAAGTAAACCATGAGTCACTAGAATGGCAAGGAGGGAATGCTAAAATCTGAAGGTAGTCGGAGGAAGGAGGAATTTCCGAGGGAAGAAGGTTATATTTGTGCTGAGCCTGAAAGGATATGTAGTATTTTGAGAATTAAAGTTCAAAGCTTATGGGCAGGAAGAAGGAATCAAAGCTGACCTAGAACTGGCTGGCTCTATAACTTTCTTGTAGAAAGAAAAAAAAATCTTGGTTTAATACATAGGACAGTAAGAAATCAGTAACTTTTTTATGAGCTTATTTTGTAGCACAAACCCAATTTTTGTTCTCTTGATATGAAGCTACAACTCTTCTGACTTTCATAATGACCTCATTTGTTGAGGATTATCATCAAATGAAGAGGATGGCTAAGTTCTGATTTGCAAGGAGATAGAAGGGAAGTAATATATATTCAACAAGCCTTCCTCTGGAAGACTTTGCTGAACATATGCAAACGGCACATTAAAGTACTTTAGAATGACAGTAATTTTTGCAGGGTTTGAGAGAAGCAAGCCATCTGGAAATTCTGAGCTTGATCACATTTGCAAACATTTGCTAAAATAGATGCTCAAGGAGGCAGACACAGGAAGGAGGCCTTTTCTGTGAATCAAGTGACAACGCACTGTCTGAACGAATGAATGAAATACATACCCGCAAAAACCACTTTACGCCGCACTGTGAGATTGACGTGGCCTTGTTTGGCAGCTTGTTGCATAAGCTGGACCACAAGCTGGTGTGATTTTCCAATTACTGGCGTCCCATCCACACAGATTAATTCATCTCCAGACCTCAGGCGGCCGTCGGTATCAGCAGCACCCAGTGGTACAATGTGACCAATATAAATCTGTTGAATAATTGAACGATGGATGAAACACTCCTCTCCTACATTTACTGTGACATCAATGGCCTTCACATCTCTGGGAACAATTCATTCATTCGTGTCTGCAGGCATGCCACAAACATTTATTGAGCACCCACTGTGTACAAGACATTGTGCTAAGTACTGTCACAATTATTAAATAGTGGAAAGAATATTTCTTGCTTAGTTTCCAGATGTTTATCTGTGGCCTATTGACAACTCACTCTTTCTTTTTCTCCGCTGCAGATATAAATCACTTTTCTCCCTTCATTGTACAACCTATTCTTCTTTCCTAGTTACCTAAAAACTCTCTTTCCATACAACTCTGCTAATAAAATTTTAATATTACTTTTACTTAAGAGTCTAGCATCATGCCTAGGAATAGGGAATATGTAATAAATACTCTTAAATGAATGAATGAAGCAAAAGTTAGTTGGACATCTCCATTTTCGAAGTCTTTTAGCACCTGAAAGCAGAGCATTCTTTATAGTTAATGTCTTACTGTTATATTTGCCATTCACTAAACCTTAGCTAAAATACTTGTGCCTACCTTGCCTTTCCAGCAGACAATAATGCTATAGTTACCTTTACATGGCATTTAGAGTTTGCAAAGAACTTTGACAAAATAGTTGCTAAGAACATGGATTCCAGTCAGACCTTATTTGTCAGTCCCTCCGTTTGGTAGCTCCGTAATCTTGGGCAAGTTAATTAGCTTTTCTTTTTCTTAATGTGAAAACGGGATAAACTGGTGGGTTTGATGGATAAATGAGAGAATGTATGTTAAGAGCCTTTAGCACAGAACCTGGTACATAGTAAGCGCTCGATGAATAATGGCTGTTATTATCACAAGGAAATTAACAATACCTATTTTAGTTTTCTTTTCTTCCTTCAAAAGAACCCTGTTATGTTATTCTAAATTTATTCCAAAATGGAGGTCACTGAGATCCACGGAAGTTCAACGTTTCTTGACCCTTACTCAGTGTTCTTTCTCAAGTTTTGTAAAGGCAGGGGTCTGACATTCTCCAATCACTGTCCCATAAGGCTTTGTGAAATACTCTCTGCACACCAGCAACTCAACACACAAAGCCCAGTACCTGCTGGCAGAGTGAAGGGACCTGGCCAGAAGGACCAGGCTACTCTTATATCAGGTGATGATTATCCTGTTTTGCTTTCTGTTTTTGTCTCCCTTGGGGGAAAGGGGTGGTCTACAGAGGCTGCAGCTGCCACTTTTCACAAACACGCATAAAAACTTTTTAGAAAGAATCTAGTCTCTTCTTCCTCAAGACAAACAGTGCTCCACAAAACCCAATGAAAAACCCATACTACTCAAGATGAAAGAGTCAGTGTTGCATCTAGCTGGACAAATCTTGGTGATTTGTCACTGTTGCCAATTTGCTTTGAAGCTTTAGAAAAATATGCCGGGGAGAGAGACGAGCAAAAGACTCACAGGTTCCCCTGGTTCATTTCCACCCAGAATCCTAAATCCAAATCCAGTCTCTTTTCTCCAGAGGAAGATGTCCTGTTCCTGGTAATCCGGAACTGCAGAGAGGGGAGAAAAAAGACATGGATTATTTTTCTGATAAAAGGAGCGATACCCCCAAGATGAACACAGTTGCAAGACAAGAATGGTGGTGCTTGATCAGATGGAAGCTTTTCAATATAGGCAAAGAAACAAAATACTCTGAACAGGTGAAATAACAGAAGACATGGGGATAAAGTAAATAGTGGGAATAGTCACTGAGCCCTAAAGTTCTTCAAAGGACTCATCACTGTTTGATAATTCCGAATCAAGCCCAAGCCATGAACCTTAACTACAAATAGTCAGCATTAACTGCTTTCCTCAGTATTCTTGCAAGGGGAATTAAGTAAATTAAAAGTATGATGTGCCACACCGCAAAGCAGGTGTCCATGTCCAAGAAGAGAACTCAGGCTAAGTCAGAGCCACCTCTGAAGCCGGCTCTAAGGATTCTGAAGTCATGTTAAGTCACCAGATGTTTCCTCTACTAGAGGATGAAAGAGAACAGCTTGGTTTAAACAGACTTTCTGATTTATCTTTAAGTCACTTTCTTCTTCCTTAAAATAATTAAGACTAGCAATGCTAATAATTTGTTAGATCATTTTTGCCAAAAATTACTCTCAAACATTCTAGTATTTCTGCATACAGTCAGCCCTCCATATCTGTGGGTTCTGCATCCTTAGATTCAACCAATCACAGATAGAAAATTTGTTAGACCTACAATGGTTTTAGCTGTGATGAATACGTAGAGATTTTTTTTCTTGTCGTTATTCCTAATACAGTATCACAACTATTTATATGGCATTTGCATTGTATTAGATGTCATAAGCAATGTAGAGATGATTTAAAGTATATAGGAGGAGGTGGGTGCGGTAGCTTACAGTGGCAATCCCAGCACTTTGGGAGGCCAAAGCCGGCGAATCGCTTGAGCCCAGGCATTTGAGTCTGGGCAACATATTGAGACCTTGTCTCTACAAAAAATAAAAAATGGGTCAGGTGTGGTGGTGTGTGTCTATAGTCCTAGCTACTCAGGAAGCTGAGGTGGGAGAATCGCTTGAGCCAGGGAGGTTAAAACTGCAGTGAGCCATGACTGCCCCAGTGCACTCCAGCCTGGGTGACAGAGTGAGACGCTGTCTCAAATAGATAAATAAATACATAAACAACAAACAAACAAATAATACAGGAAGGAGAGTGTGTGTGTGTGTATGTGTGTGTTCCACACAAATATTATGCTATTTTCTAGGGATTTAAGCATCCATGGATTTTTACAACCTTGGTGGGGGATGCAGGTGTCCTGAAACCAATTCCCGGCAGATACTGAGGGGTGACTGTACAAAGTTTATTAGGATTTCAATACTATTACCAAAATCAGCCAGGCCTCCAAATCCTTAAGATCAATGGTGATGACAAAAAGTCTATATTAATGAATCATATATCTCATTGCCAAAATCGCTGATTTACTCTAGAATTTGCCTATGATATTTCAGCATTAAAAGTATTAATTCATTTTCCAATAACTTGGTATTTTACTTTCAACGCCCAGTAATGGTCCAGGGCTTTAAAATGAATATCTTGTTTTTTAAAAGAAATGTAATTTCCATAAGAAAATACTTACTATACATGAAATCGTTCTATACACCACTCTGTTACTTCACTAAGGTAAAAGAGGGTTATTTCTATTTAATTCTTACTTAATATTTTAATGTATACATAGGGTGTTTTATGACCTATAAAATGACATATCTTTTATTTAAAGAGAAAAAAATATGATTCAGTTGCAATGAATCCTAAAGGAGATTTTCAAACGCTGTAGTGCATACCTTCTTATTTAATTAACTGGATTTGGGGCTGAAGGAAAGTGCAGGCCTGAGAATTTAATTCTTTTCTTCTCCAGTTTTGTACAACGGAATAGGGAAGAAGAAGGTGGATGTTTAGATTTTAGGTTGGTGAAGAGATGTTCCTTTTTAGTGATTCACCCACAAACTTAAAATGTATAGTGAATGAATGCACCAACAGACAAGAAACCAAATGACCAGTAAGTACAAGTCAGAGGAGTTCGAATCTGATCTTTTTACTTGAGCTATCTCAGTGCCAGGGCTGTAAATGGGTGCTTTCTATCCACTGCTTTTATTATAATTGCTGAGGCTAAGCTGCAAAACACCAGGAACATGGAGCTAAGCTACAGCACAGGACTCCCATAAACACAATTTGAGAGTAATATTTTCTTGAGCACGCTAAGGTAACAATATTTTCTTTCTGTTCGAGTAGCTGGCTAAAGGATATTTGCTGTAATAGCCTCAATGAAACAACAAATTAAATCAAGTTGTGTCTCCGTCTTTGGTTCACTCAAGCAGGAGGATTATTACCGAAATAGACCACTGGTGCTGTCCAGCCAGCACTGGGTTCCTGGCAGAGTCTGTTTTAGGTCTGCTGAGTGTGTGGCCTTTCTGGGAACAACGAAAGGGCCTCTGCAGAGACTTCCAGCCCAGACCTATTTTTCTCAGCATCATTTAACACAGGAACATTTGCCCATCCTACAGTGACACCAAATGTAACAAGTTTCTGCCTACTGTTGCTCATTTAGGTGTGAGCTAGCATGGTATGGGAGGTTGTGGCCAACAGATTTAGGCTTATCACACCGTTTAGTCCACATGAAAAAAAAAAAAAGCTTCATTTCCTTCTGAGAATCAGTGGGAAAATGGCAAATTTATTTAAAGGTTTTCTGTTGAAAAGGAAGATGCCCACTGACACTAGGGATGTTAAAGACACAACAGCGAGCCAGAAAACACAGATACAAACATCAACACACAGATATGTTACAAAGAAAGTCTTCTGCTACTTCAATTTTGGCATTTTAACAATTCTACTCTTCTACCAACTAAATGCCATTTACCCCAATATATAACTTTGGCAATAAATCAGTACTGAAACACATTATGGGATTATGAAATTTCTCTCTTCTGTGTCCTCCGAGGCCACCTCTTCTTAGAGGCATTGAAGTTTCTAAACTACTTCCCCCGAAATGGTTTCCTTCCTTACTTCAGGCAGGTTTTATTACAATTAAGTTTTTAGGCGGCAGTAAGGTAGAACCATTTTTCCGATATCAATATCCCTTTTTTTTGAGTGAGGCTAAATCAAATAGAGCTAAGAAAACCTTGTCCAGTTTTCATTTGTAAGCCCTTGCATATGAACAATTTCTGCAGTTAGTCTCCTTTTGGCAATGCCAGTGACAACTCAATAAAGCAGTCAAAAGACTTCCTTTGATAATTAGAGAGAATGGAACCACCAGGTTTGCAGAGAAACCTCCTGGTGTCTCCATTACTACAGACATACTAACACATTTCCAGACTTGACAAGAGCATGCAAAACCCTTTTTATTCCATCTTGTCTTTGGTTTGCATTTGGTCAACAAGAGCTCCAAGGCACTTCCCTTCATGCCCCTCTTTTCTTCCCTCTCTTTTCTGAACTTCTCCCCAGGCCCCCAGACCAATGAGAACATCAAACAAGATGAATGAAAATGGAGAGACAAAAGTTTTCAGCAGATCCTTACTCGGACATTCTCCAAAATTCGTGGAATTGATTTCTCTCTCTCTCTCACCCTTGCTCAATCCCGATGCAGGTGAAGGTGACATGGCTGGAATATTAATTTCACAATTTTGCAAAGCTTAATGTACATTCTTTCTCTTAGTTCACTTTAATTTAGTTTTGACTGATAAGGAACAGGCAGTTCAGCTTTCACAATAAAGGTCATGGCTGTTATTTAAAAAGACCATAGTTTGATTCCATTTTTTTCTTTCTTTTTTTTTTCACAGTGCTTTACCTATCAAAAAGCTAGAATTTACAACTGCACCATTGAGAGTTTCCTATAACTCCTATTACTATCTTAAACTCTCCTTATTTAATGACACTCTAAAGTACACATTCTTGATTGGCCTTACTTCAATCATGGTTTGTCTAAACCCTTATTGCTTTTGGAAAAATTTAAGTATATTTGTGCTACCATTAAACTACAGCATTTATTCAAAAGTGTATCAAGTTCAGGATGAAATTCATTCTTGTACTAATATCTGTTCAGGTGAATTCTAAGCATTTCAAGCCAGAACAGTCTTATATTTAGAGATGCAAATCAATGGATTTATCAGAGAAGTGAACAAACACACAAGAACTCTCATAATAGCTCTTAAAATCTGGAGGTACATCCAAGCTTCTTAAGCTTACTATGATAAAGAAGCTCAATCGCCACTTCCAAACTTGTAAGCATGTCTCTCCAAGGCAGGACAGATTTACAATGTTGGTTAATAGGACAGTTTTGAGCTTTTTCTTCCAAGCTATATAGTGAACAGGCAAAGTCTCAACTACAAGCCTTATAATTTCTTTTGTAGTAAATGCTACTGGATGTGATCTGATTCTCCTAAACATTTACTAATAAGACTGCATCACTGTCGTTTTTAAGATGTGCACAATTCTAGAGAAACTATAAAACAGGCAACATGGCTTTTAAAGGACTTTAGTGCTAGTCTTTGTTTTTAATTAAACATTGAAACCCTTCAAAGGGATTCATGAACACATGTGTAATTCAGACTGATTCATTCTAATGCTGCTGCCTTGAGAGATGGCCATATCAAAAATATGGTACATCGCAACAAATTTAGACCATGTGAAGGAATGCGATCACAGATTGTGTTAATCTCCACATTGCCCCTAATAATAAAAGAAAAGAAAAAGAACAATGTATTACCAACAAAAAGAGGGTAATATGGCACAGTTAAGCTGCTGTTGCTGACTTCAATTTTCCTGTTTTTCCTGGAGTACTCTGCTCATTTTACTGTCTTGGGGAGAAGGGGCAGGGAATCACATCTAACAAGGCTATACACTTATTTCTCTTTGAAAGACAAGATACGAAACAACCTAAGGGAATGGCAGAAACTGGTCTGAGATAAAGAAAAATACTGATTCAAACACAAGATTGATGCAGGTTCATTCCTAGGTGCTGTGAAAATAAAATCTGTGACAGATACTGAATAATCACCATGGGGGCCAGGGGGAGGTCTCATCATTATCCTCATTTAGTAGTGAGGAAGAAATCAATGTGAATCTTAACATCAATTAGGTTGCTACTATCTATCAGTCAACTACAGAGCCTCCAATTACCAAAAAGGAATAGATTCCCATTTGTGCTGCTCTATCCGATTCCTCAGATGTTAAAGAAAGTAAAGGAACAAAACTGGCACCATTCTGAATATTTCTTTTCTTTTCTTTTTTGAGACAGAGTCTCACTCTGTCACCCAGGCTGGAGTGCAGTGGCATGATCCTGGTTCACTGCAAGCTCCGCCTCCCAGGTTCCAGTGATTCTCCTGCCTCAGCCTCTTGAGTAGCTGGGACTACAGGCACACGCCACCACACCTGGCTAATTTTTGTATTTTTTAGTAGAGACGGGGTATCACCATATTGGCCAGGCTGGTCTCCAACTCCTGACTTCATGATCCGCCCGCCTAGGCCTCCCAAAGTGCTGGGATTACATGAGTAAGTCACGATGCCTGGCCCCAAATATTTCAGTCTGGCTGCTACCTGAGCAATTTCAGTACTTATAGCAGCTGGCTATGGCCACATTACATATTTTTTTTTATTTTTTTTTCCTGGTGAAAACTTTTTTAGAAACATTTGATTAGGTCAAATTCTTAAGAAAATTTGCCACCACCAGGGTAAAAATGGCATTTGAGCAAAAGCCTTCTATTAAACGGATGTTTTAGAATTATCCTGTCAACCCATGATGCCCCTGCCAGCCCTTCAGAATGCAATTCATTTTATCATGAAAAGATTCATACAGGAAACCTCAATCATAAATGTGTACTGTATTGAGGAAAGCAGGAGCTCGGTCAATAAAGCAATATCTCAACATTAACTGAAGTCGGGCCATTGATTGGATGAGCCACATGCTTAGAGAGAAATGTGGAGGGAATGTGAAAACACTCCTCTTTACAAACATCTCTTAAATGGTTTACTTCAGTGAAATCACTACAATGAGTGAGGAGACACAATGAGGACAGAATCTGGTTCCTGGTTAGCATCCACTGCATATGAGGTCATTCCAAATGGAACTTCATTTCCTTTAGTCAGGCCTCGGGGGTACTTTAGGGGTGTCTTTCTAGTCCAGCGACTAAAATAAGTCCCTGCTCAAATCAGTGGGCTTTTTGTCAGCAGAGTGAACTTGTAGCCAAAACAGCCTATTTAATTCTATGCATTGTGGTAGTAAGAAGGCAGTAATATTTCTCCCTTGAGGAGGAAAAGGATAGAGCCCTGAGCAACTCCTAACATTTGATAACCAGCAACACTCCAGGCTCACCTCTGCCCCCAAACTGCTGAGTATCACTCAGTGGACTGACCAACCTTCCTCCTCAGACAAGGATGCTGGCCTCACTGCCCCATTTTGCTTGGTCACAGAGAAGTTGACTTTCAGCATACACTTCAGCCGGCAAAGGAAGCACAGCACAGCCAAGTCTGTGTGGTGGACAGGAGGCCAGGGCCCCACACCTCACACAACCTCTCTGCCACGACTCTCGATGTTCCTGCTGAGCAGTGACCACAGTTGCAGCTAGAAATGAAACCTGTGCTGAGGGGAGGATGAGCACTCTTCACTCTTCACTCTTCCAGCTTCTCTCAGACCCTTCAACAAACCGAATCTCCACCGTCACAACACCTCTCCCCTACCCCATACCAAAAAGAGAAAATGAGGTATCTGTCCTTCATAGCTGCCTCACCCTGACCAATTATACTCGTAAGAAAATATCAGAAAACAGCAACCCAAGAACAACAACAACAACAACAACAACAAGCAGTTTGCATGGCCTAAAATTAAGGCATTTTAGGAACTTCCATTGGTAAGATAAATGAATATTATTTATGGCGAATAGTTTTTGGAAATCATTTCGTAATAAAAAGTAAGACATTAAACATGAGAGTGATATTATGTTTATATGAGCCAAGAAGTTACAAAGTATACTATCACTAGCTTGTATTTATAGAAAAGGTAAAGCACTGGATCAGTAATTAAAGCACAACCCCTCACTGCTATTGTTTTTTCCTTTTTGTGGGAAATGTTTAGAGAGATTATAATGGTTAAAAAAAATTACCAGTATTTTTGAAAATCAAGAGACCACTTAAAAAGCATTTAATTTCTTCTCATTAGCCCTACAATCCCAGTCAATCATATTTAAGTTCTACTGCATATTGGATTTGTGCTCAGAGCACATCACAATCTCCACTCAGGGAATTAATGAGACAGCAGCTCTTATCTACCATGCCTTTTAACTGAAGGGAGGAAAAAAAAACCATTTTCACCCAGGGCATTTATTTGATAACTATCCACTTCTACCCTCTCCCCAGACTGAAGGCATAGTGAGGCCTCCATGGATAGCCAGCAGAGTCCACTCCCTTGGCCATACTTTTGCCTCTTGTGGATTTCACTTTATCCGGTTTACATACTGCAACTCCTCTATTTTCAATAACCTTCAAAAGAAAGGTAGAGCCCTGTGGAGGGGTCAGGGTAAGACAGAGGCCAGGATGCTACTCACGTCGGTTTTCATACATGCTCCTGGACTGGGCCCAGATTTTAAAAGGATCTGGTTTTTTCTGGCCAGAGCTGTCAGTTTGATCTGGAGCTTGGGCTTCTGCAGGTGGGAACTCGGGGAGCACCTGTGTGCTGTGGCTTGGGGATGCTGTGTGCAGGCTCCGGTGGCTGGAAACACTGTGCTGAGAACTATTCTGGCTGTCTTTCCTTTCCAGTGGTTGCTGAAAGTAAGCAAGTGAGAGGGGCAAGAAGAAAAGATCATTATTGGTTCTCTGAGTGGGTGTTTTCCACCAGCTTGTCTTTGTTTAGCACTTCTGCATACACATACATAAGTATATCAACAGTATTTTGGCTCCCACCTTTCTCCAGCTAATGCTGAATGCAGATGAATCCCTAGGTGAGTGGCAGACAAACAGAGGGGTGGGCCAGATAGAAAGACATAATCATAACCCACACTGTTCTCTGGGTTATAGCGGAAAACAAATCCAATATTCATCACAGGTTCTCAGCTAAGATGCTATGCTCGTTTATTGCAAGATGGATCAGTTTTAACATCCTCATTTTCACAAAAATATGTGACACCAAATACCATGAGTGGTTTACGATAAGGCTATAATATCCAGAAGAAATATAATCAGGACTAAAGATGCTCCTCAGGACTCCATGTCTTGTATCTTTTAATAATGAAATACCCAATTCCTCTCTAAGAGTTTGCTATCCATTCTTTTTGACTGTTAAACAAAAAAACAAAAAAAACAGAGGTCAGATCTTTCAAAAATCATGCCTAGCATTATATGTTTACTGGTATTTCTATGTGTATAAATTACTAATATATGAAGAACTTCCATAATTCTTAGCTAATCAATTTTGCAAGCATTACACTTCACCTCTTAAACTGCCGATAGTACTGTTGGTTGAAAACCATGATCAAACTTTGTATATGAGTTGACCTCCGGGGGTCAGCCTTCTTAGATTTGCAACTTCTCCAAAGTTCAAGTATTATAATATTCAAAGGGGAAGAGTTCCATTTAAATTTCAATTGAATAACCAAGTCCTTGTTTATTAAAATCTGCTCAGCAAAGACCCTTCTTATTTTACGAAATGCTCTGTTAGAATGGCTAATGAATGGAGAGTAAGACCTAATGGAAAGGAAAATAGTAGGTAGAACAGGAAATAACTGTAGTTCTTATTTTCTCCAATAAAAGACTGCGGTAATCTCAGGTGTTTAGCATTCCCTATTCAAAACAAAAAAATCCTGCAGTCATGCCTCATACACCATAGACACTACGTCACTATACTTATCTGATTTAAAGCACTGTATGGGGTTGAGGGCAGGAAGGGGCTCTCCCTTCACTCTTATAGATCCTGTAGAGCTCATGGTTTTAAAGTACTTTGTAAGAGCTTTGACCTTGAGCATTCTAGATCCCTGAAGTTCTTTACAGAGCCCATATCTTCCACTGGGTGTTCCGATCAATCCTATCAAGACCATTTTTCCTTGCTGTCTCCCCAGGGATCCTTCATCTTTCATTCCCCTGGAATTCTGCTGGAAATTTGCAAGGTCCTTTCACTTAATTCTCAGGTCCCTGTATTTCCTCTACTTCCAGTCCTTGCTTTGAAACACGTATCTGAAGAAAGCCCAAGGAGGACAAAAACTTCATTTGCTCTTGACTATTACAGATTTGAATGCAGATATTGGCAAGGATTCAAAATTGAGAACAAATGGACATGTATTTAATGAAGGCAAGATAGACCATTTAAAATTACACTTGATATGCTTGTGGGAAAAATTTGAGGACCATATTCTAAGCTACTCTGAAGGTCTTGGGAAAACTGTATGAGAGGCTTAATTCACTCCAATTCAAGGGGAAAAACACACTGGTGCAGATGCCAGGAAAACACGCTGATGTTTGGGTGGGAACAAACACCATCATAACCCCATGTCACCGTTTTTCTCTTCTGAGGATCAAGTGCTCAGCTCAGATTTGGTTGCCACTCCAAAGAGTTGATAGAAGCCGGCTCTGCCAACTTCAACAGTTTCTCCTCCAACAGTGAATTCAGCTCCCAGGGCCAGAGTCAAAAAATGTAAATGATGGATACCATATCCATTTTCTTCTGCATGCACATGGGAATGTTGTTTTTTTTGTTTTTGTTTTTTTTTCCCCTCTTCAATATGGTCTTTACAAGGGTCTTGATTATAAACAACCATGTATAGCATCGGCCCATTTTTTGTGTGAACATACATAACAATGCATAGAGAAAATGGGATTACGGGTGGAGTTTTTCTCTCTTATCATTATACTTTCCCATATTACCTACCTTTTTTATTTTTATTTTATTTTTTATTTTTTATTTTTTTTTGGAGATGGAGTCTCGCTCTGTTGCCCAGGCTGAAGTGCAGTGGCGCGATCTCGGCTCACTGCAAGCTCCGCCTCCCGGGTTCACGCTATTCTCCTGCCTCAGCCTCCCCAGAAGCTGGGACTACAGGCGTCCGCCACCACGCCCGGCTAATTTTTTTTGTATTTTTAGTAGAGACGGGGTTTCACCATGTTTGCCAGGATGGTCTCGATCTCTTGACCTTGTGATCCGCCCGTCTCGGCCTCCCAAAGTGCTGGGATTACAAGCGTGAGCCACCGCGCCCGGCCTACCTTTTTTATTGTTATAGTGCACAGAGAATACTTTTTATAATCAAGACAAAATTTAAAGTCATTTTCATTTCAAAATGAACCTTGGTAAATAGAATTAATGGGTATTGCTACTTCCTATTTTTTTACATTTTAGTAATGTTTTACTTTTGTTCACCTCTGAAGGGGGAAGACATTTTAAATGTAAAAGCAAAAAACTCAATAAAAGACCTCTGCATTTACCTGAGAGTGGCATGCCTCCCTTCAAAGGACCACTCTCTTTTGGTTCCTCAAATTAGTAGATGCCAGATTGATTGCAGGGCCGGCCTATGAGCACTAAATTCTGACCCTGGAAGCTCTGGTCTCCTCCTCGTGTGGAAACTACTCTTCACAAAGGTGTGCACACTGCAGGATTACCTGCAGGAAACAGCCTTGTGCTGCTGCTTCTTTTGTAGGATTATTTGCAGTTTCTGTTCCATTGTCTTCTTGGGCCATTACCCCCTGAAGACTAACTCAAACCTTTTCCACTTGATCCCTCTTCCTGAACTGGAGAGAAATATCCTTCTGGCATCCCTGACCCACCGAGAAAGTCTGATAAAAGTATTGGACCTGTATCCCAGAGAAAATGCGTATGTGCTTTTACATACATACCTGTACATGCGTGTGCAGAGATTCAGCATGTTACATCATGGGTTTTTGAAACCCTCTCATGTCTGTCCCAGTATAACAAATCCCTGACATGGAAGACCTAGATCTCTTACGTCTAACTGAAGAGATGGTTCCACCAGAAACAGAGAGTGCAAATGAAGTCTACTGGAAACACTTGGGCCATTTTTCAAATTATAACACCCTTTCTCACCTCCCCAATAAATGACTCATTTAGGTCCAATTTAACACCAAATGACAGACACAATCTGGAATGAGTTTGCAAAACTGCCTCTTGGTCAAACTGCACCTCTGAGTCTCTTTTAAATGCCATCTAAACTTTATACCTCAAATTAGAAAATAAAAGTAAAGGAGCATCCTGAGAATGTGCTCGAAAAACTGTGCCACCACTCAGCTATCTCTAACTGACATATATAAATGGCACACTAATGGGCTAAATACACAACAATCTGGAAGCTTTCTGGATGTTCTCCCTGCTAAGACTTAACCTCACTCTATGTTCCTTCTCAAGTTCAATTATGAAAACTCATTAATTTGAAGATACATTCAGTAATTTAGTATCTTGTTGGCACTCTGGATTTTTTAAAACTATGCTGTGGGTGTGGGGGGAGTTTGAAGTTTTTTTTTTTTTAATTTTCTGTGAGCATGCTGATCGGCTATGAGGTTGTCCTTTATCTGGTTAGAGCCCAGAATTGTCCAGGAAAAAAACCACGTTTATATATCTCCCAAATTAAAGAAAACTTGTATGCATTTTCAGTAGTCTGGATCACCTCCTAGAAGACTAGGGACATGAGAATATGTTCACTTCTGAACTATTTATGACACAGGATCAGATTTGCATTTAATGCGATTTTATTTCACCTCATTTTCCTAGGTGAGACACTAGTCCAAAGACAAGTAGCTGTAGTTAAAGGTATACTTTTAAGTCTGTTAACGAAACCCTGTGCACACTAAGAACATGGAAAAATGGAAAAATAGTACACCAATGATATAACATCCAGCCCAGGCCCTCCTAAGTGGGCTGCCCTACCTGTAATAGATTTATTCACTTAACCCAATAAATACATAGGATCACCTGCTGTGTGCCAGATACCGAGGGAAACAACATGTAAACAAGGAATAGATGGTACCTGAGCTCTTGAAATTTATCCCTGGGCATGTATCTAAGTGTGTGTATACGTAGTGTGTGTAGATGAATATTAATCAAATATAATATATTGATAGCAACACACTGCAACGTCCTTTAGAAAGGTGGTAAAGAGAGGACTCTGGAAAAAATCTATTAATAGAAAGAGAAGGCTGGGCATGGTGGCTCACACCTGTAATCCCAGCACTTTGGGAGGCCGAGTAACACAGATCCCTTGAGGTCAGGAGTTCGAAACCAGCCTGACCAACATGGTAAAACTCCGTCTCTGCTAAAAATACAAAAATTACCCAGGCGTGGTGGCATGCACATGTAATCCCAGCTACTTGGGAGGCTGATGTACGAGAATCACTTGGAAAGGTGGAGCTTGCAGTGAGATGAGATCACACTACTGCACTTCAGCCTGGGTGACACAGCGAGACTCCATCTCAAAAAAAAAAAAAAAAAAAAAAAAAATAGGGTGTGCTAAGTGGACTTTCTGAACAAAAAAGCTAGTGTGGCACAGCAAGGAAGGGTGGCCTGAGAGGAACTGGGAGGCCACATAATGCATGAGCCCTGTGGGCTACGTAAGGAGTTTGGGTTTCATTCTTAGTTTCAAGAGGGGGAATCCATTAATGAAGTTCAAGTGGGGATGTTCCAAGAGCCAACATGTCTCCAGAAAGTTTGGTGTCACTACTGGGTGGTGAATGGATTGGTGGGGAATAGGAGTGAATGCAGAGAGGCCAGTTAGGAAGCCCCAGCTACAGTCAATGTGGGAACCTAAGGTGGGCAACACCAGGGTAGCTGGAGT